GTATTAGGAGCTGAAATCGCAGATTAATTAATAGTTACTACGTAACTGAAACTGCGTTATGCAGACGAATTACTGCGGATGCAGAACATTAACAAAACATAATTTTCATCTAAATTAAGTTTTTTATTACAATGGTAGTGATCCAACGTATTACATTCACTTTTTAACCGACTTCAAAAAATACTTTTTGTATGGCATAGGTAAGCCGGTAAACGAGCAGTCGGATCACCTGATGGTAAGCAATCAGCGTCGCCCATGGACACCTGGAACACCAGAGGCGTTACTAGTGCGTCACCGGCTTTTTGGGGATTAGTAGTTTGAGGATCGTTTGGGATTCAGGGACTGGGGAGATTGGGGAAGGGGAAGGTAATTGGGCCTCCGGTAACCTCACTCACACGACGAAACACAACGCAAGCGTTGCTTCACGTCGGTTTTCTGTGAGGCCGTGGTATCACTCCAGTCGAGCCGGCCCATTCGTGCCGAAGCATGGCTCTCCCACACTTAAAATCAACCGTATACTTATACCTATGCCTTTTTTTTGTAGAAAGTGGATCACCAGGGGCGCAAACGCCACCTTCAAGAAAAATGTCAATATCCGGATCAGGAAAATCAAGTAAGCCTTAACTCGTCGAGTACCGTCATTATAGACGTTATAGACAGTTTATAGATTGTGTTGTATATGTCATTATAGACAGTTTAAACTGTCAAACACCAAGCGGTCACCGGTGACCGCAACCTATTGTTCTATAATTGTGTCTACAAAACCGGTACTCGACGAGTTAAATTGCTCTCTCATTGAATATTATAGTGAGTGTCCATGATTATAAAAGTTCCAAATGTAACTTACCGATACTATACCTTACTTATATAATTGTAAACAGCTTAAAATATGTATATATATACCCATCATAACACACGTAAACCTTCTGTTGTAGATTATTCTGATGAGTGTCCACCTACGCCACCAGTGGCACAAACGCCAACTGAAACAAAAACACCGAAATCTGGAACAGGAAAATCAAGTAAGCCATTAATTACTTTTTACTGAATATCATATTTTAGGACGTACTACAGTTCGAAGTTATCACGAGGTCCTTAGGTATCCTTTGGTATTTCGAACTATATCAATACATTTTATGCACTCCTCACAGAAAACCGGTGTGAAACAGCGCTTGCGCTGTGTTTCACCGAGTGAGTGAGGGTACCGGAGGCCCAACCCCCCCCCCCTCATAATGTCGCAGTTGATTCAAGAGTTTCTACCCCAGGAGGGTACCAACTGCGTTGGAGAATCCCTCTCTGGACGTCCATTTTCAGAACTCAACTACCCTGAGCGTGGACGTCCAGGCCGCCCCACATCGTACTCTGGGGGGGGCAAAACTGCGCATCATAAAGCTGGAGGCAAGAGCAGAATAACCATGGCACCCCTTGCCACGCTGAATGTGGACTTCTGCAACATAAGGGGATTACACACCAACCTCAATGCTGTCCATCACCACCTAGAGACAGCAAAGCCGGCCTTGCTCTTTTTGACTGAGACGCAGATATCGTCTCCGTTGGACACATCCTACCTCACCTACCCTGGGTATGGACTGGAACATTCCTTCCTGCCTAGGGCCGGGGTGTGCGTGTACATCAGGGACGATATCAGCTCACGTCGCCTCAGTAATCTTGAAGGTAGGGACCTGTCCACCTTATGGCTGCGTGTAGATAACGACGACCACCCCCGTGTCTACGCGTGCCTATATAGGTCCCATAGCGGTGATAGCGAGACTGACCGACTCATGGACCACATCCAGACGGCTGTAGATCTTGTGCAGGGGCAGATATCCTCAGCGGAAGTGGTCTTGCTTGGCGACTTCAACGCCCATCACGCCGACTGGCTCTGCTCCAGTAAGACTGACCACGCGGGGAGATCTGTCCACGACTTGGCTCTTGCTTCTGGCCTAACACAACTGGTGACCGTGCCCACGCGAATCCCGGATGTGGAAGGCCAGAGGTCTTCACTGTTGGACCTTCTGCTGACCTCTCACCCGGACGGCTACAGCGTATCCGTCGAAGCCCCTCTTGGCTCATCGGATCATTGCCTTGTCCGGAGCTCTGTATCTTGGACGTGCACACCGCGACTACAAGAGGTACGCGGTCGCCGTGTATGGCACTATAGGTCGGCAGATTGGGATGGGATGCGGTCCTTTTTTGCATCCTACCCTTGGAGGCGGGCTTGCTTCTTGCAGGATGATCCCAACGCCGCTGCCAATTCTGTTGCTGATGTGGTGCTGCAGGGGATGGAGCTTTTCGTCCCATCTTCTCTGGTCCCCGTCGGTGGCAGATATCGGCCCTGGTTTGATGCTTCTACCAGAAAGGCCTCACGCAGAAAGCAGGAGGCCTACCAAGCCTGGGTCGATGCGGCGGTGGCACGGGATGTAAATACCAGTGCACTAAAAAAGGAGTATAACTTTGCCTCCAAGTCCTTCAAAAGAGCTATTGCGGGTGCCAAGTCGCAGCACATCGGTAGAATTGGTGAGAGGCTGGAGCGCCTTCCTTCAGGAACTCGTTCATTCTGGTCGCTCGCCAAAGCTATCGAGGGCAATTTCTGCAGGCCGTCATTTCCACCTCTGCACATGGGTGAGGATTCGTTGGCTCATAACGCAAGGGATAAGGCTCAACTTTTGGCAAAAATCTTTGCATCCAACTCGACACTGGATGACGGTGGGCGCGAGCCTCCTGTTGTGCCTTGGTGCGGAAGGTATATGCCGGATGTGCGGTTCCACCAGCGCACGGTACGTTTGGCGCTTTTATCCCTTGACGTCCATAAGTCGAGCGGGCCTGATGGGATCCCACCCATTGTTTTGAAGATGTGCGCCCCCGAGTTGGCCCCAGTTCTCACACGTCTTTTTCGGCTCTCTTATTCCTCAGGCGTAGTTCCGACGTCCTGGAAGACAGCTTTAGTCCACCCAATCCCTAAAAAAGGTGATCGATCTAACCCGTCTAACTACAGACCGATAGCCATAACTTCCCTCTTCTCGAAAATAATGGAGTCCATTATTAACTGCCAGCTCCTGCGTTACTTAGAGGATCATCAGCTGCTCAGTGACCAGCAATACGGTTTTCGTAAAGGTCGGTCTGCTGGTGATCTCCTTGTTTACCTAACGCATCGGTGGGCACAGGCGATCGAGTCTAAGGGGGAAGCGTTGGCAGTAAGTTTAGACGTGGCGAAGGCCTTCGATCGGGTTTGGCATAGAGCGCTTCTTTCGAAGCTTCCTTCCTACGGACTTCCCGAGAAATTATGCAAATGGGTCTCCTACTTCCTTGCAGACAGAAGCATTAAAGTCGTCGTCGACGGTGAATGCTCTGACTTGATGTCTGTAAATGCAGGTGTCCCTCAAGGCTGCGTGCTATCGCCTACATTGTTCCTCCTCCATATCAATGACATGCTGCAAATCAGCGGCATTCATTGTTATGCGGATGACAGCACAGGCGATGCCTACTACACCGGCCGCGCTAACATTTCTCGGGAAAACGTCATAGAGAGCCGAAACAGACTCGTGTCTGAAATCGAGACCTCTTTAGGGAGAATCTCTGATTGGGGTGGACTTAATTTGGTCCAATTTAACCCCACTAAGACACAAGTCTGCGTGTTTACCGCTAAGAAACTGCCGTTGGTCGTCTCTCCTCAGTTTCAAAGCACCCCCCTAACTGCCTCAGCCGGTATTGGAATACTTGGTGTCAATATTTCGAGCGACGTCCAGTTTTGCGGTCATTTAGAGGATAAGGCCAAATTAGCCTCGAGGAAGCTTGGTGTGCTCAATAGATCGAGGCAGTATTTCACCCCGACCCACCGCCTGCTTCTATATAAGGCACAGGTGCGGCCCCACATGGAATACTGTTCTCATCTTTGGGCGGGGGCACCCCAGTACCAGCTTCTTCCTCTGGACCGCATTCAGCGGCGTGCCGTTCGGATTGTTGGATGTCCGGGTGTTTCAAACCGGCTCGACACTTTGGCAATGCGTAGAGATGTAGCTTCATTGTGCATTTTCTACCGCTTATACCACGGGGAGTGCTCTGAGGAATTGTTTGACCTGATACCTGCCGCATCTTTTCGCCATCGACCCTCACGACAGCATATGCATCCCCATCATATAGATGGTTGGCAGGCCACAACTGTGCGGTTCTCACGTAGCTTCCTGCCTCGCACAGCAAAACTGTGGAATGATCTGTCGTCGGCGGTATTTCCGAACCGATACGACCTTCAAACCTTCAAGAGAAGAGCGTACTCCTTTTTAAAGGGCCGGCAACGCACCTGTGACTCTTCTGGTGTTGCGGGTGTCCATGGGCGGCGCTGATTGCTTACCATCAGGTGATCCGTCTGCTCGTTTGCCTCCTATTCCATAAAAAAAAAAAAATAAAAAACTTAGTAATTCAATCGAAAAAAATATTGCTACGTAACCAAAAGACTCGTTAATTCGAAATCCCAGAGAGAAAGGGACAAAAAGATCTCAGATTTTGCACAGGTAAGTAGCTAAGATAAATCCTAAGACAAGTTCAAATTTTGAACCATTTGATAATTTGAACATTCGGTAATTCGAAATAGTTTGAGAGTTCCTTTTGAATTAACGAGAGTATTTGTTTCTTGCTCGTTCTTCTCCATAGGAATCTACGCCTTGGAATGAGCAAATAGCTTCACTTTCAATTTTTTTTTGACGTTCAAAAGTGCCATTCTGGCCTAATTGAAATAAATGATTTTGACTTTGACTTTGCAATTATTACAATTACAACGCTGGTGACCCAATACACGTTAATCTTCTCTTGCAGAGTATATCGATGAGTGTCTACCTCAACCACCAGGTACACAAACGTCAACTCCAACAAAGACGCCAACTTCAGCAAAAACACCAACTCCAACAAGGACGCCAACTTCAGCAAAAACACCAACTCCAACAAAGACCCCAACATCAGCAAAAACACCAACTCCAACAAAGACGCCAACATCAGCAAAAACACCAACTCCAACAAAGACGCCAACATCAGCAAAAACACCAACTCCAACAAAAACACCAACTTCAGCAAAAACGCCAACTCCAATAAAAACGCCGAAATCTGGACCAGGAAAATCAAGTAAGTGTTTACTTGTTTTTATTTTTATAATAAAGAAACAACAATATGTCCAGGGTGGGCTTGATGCCACAGGCATTCTTGCTAGCAAAACCATTAGGTGATGAAGTATAGGTTTTTTATTGATTAGGATTTATTATGATGCTGGTAGACATGGTCCCTGACTACTGGCCTTCTAGAGAAGGTCAAAGTTGCTCAGCGCGCGGTGCAGAGAGCTATGCTCGGGGTTTACTTGCGTGTCAAAATCCGAAATAAGGAAATCCGCCAAAGAACTAGAGTTACCGACGTAGCTCGCTCGCAAAATCTGCAGACTGAAGTGGCAATGGTCAGGCCACGTCTCTCCACGGAAAGACCACGGACTGGAAGTGTGGAACGATAGGTGGACCGATGACATCGTCAGAGTTGCGAGCAGCCAGTGGATGCAGGTGGCGAGGTGTCGATCGACATGGAGAACTATGGGAGAGGCTTTTGTCCGGCAGCGGACGTCTTCTGGCTGTTGATGATGGTGATAATGATAACGCTAGTTATGATGGAACAAAACATTAATTAGTAACCTTCTCTCTTCTCTTTTAGAGTACGATGAAGGGGTTATATCACCAGGGATACAAACTCCACCTAAGCATGATGCCGCACCTGATAGTGATAAAAAACTGAAGAGATCCGTGTCAGGAAAAACATGTATGCCCTTAGCAATTTTTTTTACTGAACATCATATTATTTAACATATATGCTGATGAGTTTGTTTGAACACGCTAATCTCCGGAAATACTAGACCGAATGAAATGATTACTTTTGTGTTGGCGAATAGTCCATTTATCGAGGAAGGTAGGATTTAAAACATTACAGTAGGATCAATAGCAGCAAATCAGCGGGTGAACCATGCGGGAGTAGGACTAGACATAAATTGGACTTTATTACAATGCTAGTCATAACACACACGATTATAAAACTTCTCTTTAGGCTGTTCACCGGTTTGTCCGGCGACACGGGCTCAATCGAAGCATGGGATTAAAAAACCAACAAAACCAACAAAACCAGTAAAACCAACAAAACCAACAGGTAACTGACATTTTCTTAATTCCATTTGTTCAGACTAATGTAATATACTTTACAATATACCGCACCTTTTATATCTTTTTTTAGGACTGAAATTTGAAAAGAAAAAGACAGGTAGGTAATTATATTTTTTATTGCTTTTTATTTAGATTTTTCTAAAATGGATACTAGATGGAATACTTAGGAGCGTGGCATGCTCACACTCGCACTTGCACTCGTTCGCGACACTGGCGCCAATGTCATTTTTCCATTGTTTGTCACGTTCGCGTCCATCTTGCTTTATCTCGACGAATAGTAGAGACACTGACTGACGTCTGACTTGTAAGACACACACGTGCCCATCAATGTCAAAACGGCATTTGCGCAGGGTCGTGAACGAGTACAACAGTTTAGTCCCTAACTTTTATATGCAAAACTATACTTACATGGCCATAAGGCACTGACAAAATTTGCTTACTTAATATAAGTACAAGAGAACTAGATTTAATAGTTTTATCTTTTTGCAGCGAACCAAGGAACAAATGCTAAGCCTGACACTAAATGTGGGTATGTATTGTTCGATGAATAATCCATATGCAAAAGAAGGTTGTTTATTCAAGATATTTTATAATTAAGGGCCCGTTTGAGGACTCTCGTATAGATAGGTACCCGTTGTGGCAGATATTTCATACAAATTACGTACTTACGGTACAGTTTACATTCTATTATTTAATTAGCTGCGTGGTATAGTCATGTTTAGTCACCCAAGTTTGATATGCAGCTAAAAAATTAAAATTTTCTTAAATAAATTGTATACTTTTAACGAAGCGTGTGAAAAAGCGCAAGAATGTAACCGGACATCCGGCTCAAAGCTGGAGTTGGAACGGAACGGGTTTTTGCAGTAAAAGTCTGATACTCCTCCTGGCCTCATTCAGAGGGTATTCCTCCTCAAAAAAAAATAAACAAAGTTTTTGACTGCAACTTCGAATCAACATTAGTAGACGGAATAAAAATATATATTTGGTTTTTGTATAAAGTTTAAAAGTGCCTTTTACTGGTCTATTGGAAATAAGGGATTTTGATTTTGACATGACGATGATCAACGATTTGACCATTCCAGGGGGTGTCAGGTGGAAGGCTCCTGTCACTTCTGCAGTAAGAACGCAGTTGTTCGCTTTGAAAAATTACCTAGATGCGCCCTTTCAATTAATACTGCCGTTGGATCGTCATCTGTACGGAATTTGCGTGGTACGTTGTACAAGAATTTAATTGTTACTTAATAAACGCCGAAGTAAATATAATATCTCAATCCAAAATCTGTGGATAAAAAATTACGACGAGAACTTCATACACATCAACAGCCTATACCTAAGTGACCACTGGTGATTAAAGGCCTCTTCTCACCCGGAGGTTTGAGCATTAATTACCACGCTTGCTCAATGTGGATTGGTGATTTCAAACTTATAATTAGAAACTATATAAGCCCAGGTTTCCTCACGATGTTTTCCTTCACCGTTTGTCAGTGGTATCTAAACGAATCTTAGAAAGTACTTAACTCCGAAAAAGTCACATTGGTACTTGCCGTTGGTAGGCTTTGAAGCCACGCCCTCGTGCATGAGAAGTGGGCTGCCGGCGTATTAAACCTCGGGGCCACGACGACATACAACTAATGTCAAAAATCAATCCAGTAGCAGTGTTTTAAATATAATAGGTTACTTATTTCGGCCGTAGATACACAACAATGGAAAGACAAGACAAAATTATCCTGTTGTCACTAGGTTGTCGAGGAAATATAACCTTGCAGTCCTGTCCCTATAGTGCCCATTTTCTCTGTTAGATTCTGAATGGTTGCGTCTGATAGTACTTTTTTTGCTTACAAGCAAATGAACCTCCGAAACTCCCCAAATGCAAAAAGTGAATAAACCAATCCTACTCCCTAATATCCTACTCCTACTAATATTATAAATGCGAAAGTTTGTGAGCAACTGAAAGGATCAAGATGAAGCTTAGAACAAGGGTAGATTCTGGGCCGGAGTCACATATAGGCCTTTGTATCTTATGAGAACGCAGGCAAAGCCGCTGGCAGAAGCTAATATTCAATAACTAGGTATTATTATAAAATATTGGTCACATCACGTCTTTAAGTGTGGGAGAGCCATGCTTCGACACGAATGGGCCGGCTTGACCGGAGTGATACCACGTCCTCACAGAAAACCGACGTGAAGCAACGCTTGCGCTGTGTTCCGTCGTGTGAGTGAGGTTACCGGAGGCCCAATTACCCTCCCCTTCCCCAATCTCCCCAATTCCTGAATCCCCAACGATCCTCAAACTCCTAATCCCCAAAAGGCCGGTAATGCACTTGTAACGCCTCTGGTGTTCCAGGTGTCCATGGGCGACGCCAATTGCTTACCAGCAGGTAATCCGTCTGCTCGTTTACGGGCTTATGCCATAAAAAAACTTCTTGAAATTATGTTTTTTTTAGACGAAGGAATTCAAGGCTGTACACAGGAGACATGCACTTGTGCAACTCAACACGAATTGCCATTCGGTAAAAAGGCAGCAACTACAATCACCCCTTTCGTTGTCAGCTCCTTTACCCTAGACGACGAGTATCTTGGAACTAAGAAGAATCAACACAGACGTAAGTAGAGCTACAGTAATAAAATGTTTCCACATTCTAATAGCAATTTTTTCGAAGTTTTAATCCGCTGGATTATTTAAAAATAATCACTATTTGCATTTTTGAAAAGATTCTAAAAATTCTGAGTGCATTTGGCTGCTTGAATTAGATGGCAAGATAGCACACTAGGCGAGAAAACATACAATCATACATATACATTTTATAATAAACGTACATAACTTCACCCCTGTTTCTCCCAGGAAGAGACTATGGAACGCCAATTGCTACGATTCCTACATACCTTTTTCGCGTTAGTCATCAATCTTTTCATGCATGCTCGTCGGTTAAGGGTACCAAACAAAGACAAATGTGTTTCAGGTATGGCCCACAAAGGTACCTACTTTTCGAAACATCGAAGGAAGAAGAGCAAAGGTGAGTTCATTCAAAGTATCTAATCTCGACTCACTGCCTAGTTACGTACCTGTTACGGCATAAAGACTTTTTGCTACTGCGATATATGCGAACACGAAGATAGATTCATATAAATTCATATCTATGTATATTGTACGTACTTTTCTTGTTTTAGATGAGAAATCGGGAGTGTCCAAACGGGATCAAAAACTTTCCCTAGAAAGTAGCTTATTTTTTTTAAATCGTGAGTTCGAAATATGTCTATTATTATGTGCTTCCCATGTCAGTCTGGTAAAAACCCAAAAAGACACGAATCTTAAAAGGCTCCTTTATTCCAGGCAGCTCGCACGCGACAAGAGAATTGACTGATGTTTTTACAGACACAGTGTCTGACTCTTCTATCAGTTCCATATCAATCAGAAGTGATGAAAAGACTGACACAACAGTATGCAGCCTAGCCACCGTCGACTATGAAGACAATCCAAGACTCAGAAAATTTCGTGTAAAAGTCGTCACAAAAACCAATCAATCCACCATTACAGACAAAACTAGACTCTGTGACACAGGCACAGTGACACAAGATTGGTGGAGTCCATTAGTAGAAAGAAAGAGTGAAGAAATTATTCTAGAGAAGAAGAAAGGGTATATGATTGAGAAGCAGAAGAGAGATAAGCGGGATTTGAAGCAGTGGAGGGAGTTGAAGGAGTTGAGGGATATTCAGAAGAGGAGGAGAACCTGTGGAGTGACGACCGACGGTAGGATCGTTACTTTTAGGAGTAGGACGCAGATTATACCTACGGGTGAGTCTTAAACGTTGACCTTTGCGGCCATAATGTTGGCTCTCACAATCCGTTTTGTGATTACTATCTTATGTTTGTACGTGCTTCACAGCTTGTAGTCAATAATTCAGGGAATAGTTAAAAGTCTCAGAAGCTACCAGTTTAATCTCTATATATCTAGATGAAAACCCTGAATTCGATGCCTGTTTATGTAAGATAAAAGTAAAAAAAAGATGTTGTCTTCTCCAGCTTTTAAATTGCATTGAATGTTCGATTTTCTTTGTTTCTAGGTTTTGTACCTGGCGTCAATGATATCATGTCTCCATCTCGTTATCTCCTTGAAGTAAGTCCAGCAGATTATATTCCATTTCATTTTAATGTCTATACTAACATAGTCGAGTGATGACAATTAGGTCCCTTTCGTGCCGATATTTTTTTCTAGCAATACATTTTAATTATTATTTTTACTTCCTGTCAAAACTTCAGTCTCAAAGGTACTACAATGAGCTCTTTGCCTACAACTTCCTTCCTGCTCAAATGGAGTTCAACTGCGTCTCTCAAATCCCAAGGTATCAGGAAAAGGAGAAGTTGCGATCTCCCTTGGGTACAAGAAGAAGTAAGTCTCAGTTTAATCCTTATCAGCTCCGATCATCATCATCAAGAAGAGGTCCACTATTGAACATGGACGTCGTCCTTAAACACCGTTTGCCATAACCAGTGGCGTAACTACAGGATGGTACGTCAGCAAGATACCACAAACCCCCCAGCTAAATAGGGCATTTAGAGATTTTTATCTGATCTTCTCTGTTTCTTATTGGGAACGGGGGCCCATCTGATGAATTTGCCATGGGCCCTGACAGATTTAGTTACGCCAATGGCCACTACATAATCCACTACATACTCCTTTTTAAAATGCTGACTACGCATCTATAATTCCTCTAGATTTGTGGGTGTTAATAGTTTACTCTATGCGTCAGCTTGATCTTGAAGTTCACATTTCGGTCAGCAAAAATGTAGAGTTGCTGCTTCTACCTTCATAAGTGTCTTTTGGTCTAATTAAAACAATTGATTTTGCTATGAATTCTTTGTACTTTGATGGTATTGCCATCAACATGTGGATTACCGCAGTCTTCTAGCTATTCTACTCCAGTTAGTGTGTGTGTAAAGATGCTTAGTAAAATATGATCACAACATAAGAGTTTTTAATACAAGTGATAACCTCACGAGTCTTGTAGATACTCATTGTAAGAAACAATGTCTAATGTTGATACCTTTATTTACATTGTTATTAAATTATTTTCTCAGATCACCATCGCAAAACAAAAAGGCTGGAAGATTGCTACTCTCCAAGAAGACAAGTAAGTACCATGATATAAAACGGTAGTCAAATTCAATACTTTTATTGAAATGCCAAAAACGATACTTTTCTATGAATTTTGTATTGGATCGCTATTTATGACGTCATCATATTTCTGCGTCTAAAAGCATATTTATTTCCTTCAAATTAGCGAGAAAAAATCCAAAAGTAGGTAAATTGTTTAATCAATGGATGAGAGTATGATTATATTTTAATTATTTATTGCATTGAAAAGTCAAAACATTTTATTTTAAACCTAGGTCACTAGCCAATTATTACACTAAAACTATTGACACGGCGGCTCATCTCAATCTAGTGGTGTCAAATTACAGTACCTACCTATCATCAAAAAATAAAATTGAGGGATCAGAGGGTTCAGAGGGACCTCTCTTCTTAGTAGAGAGCTACTGTAATTTTTGCTTAATACGTGGGGCTAAGAGGCAACTAAACCCCATCAATAAAATAATGAAAACAGAATAATCTAACTTTACTGATTATAATGTTACAGATATCTCCAAGGAAATGGTTCCCGGAACCAGAATCTCCTCGTAGAAGACACACTCCTAGACATACAAACCATCGGTAAGCATAAGTCTAGTAGACTCGAAATATAAAAATACTAAAAAAACTATACAAAATTAACATTTTGTTTGTTTTGTTTCAGACATTATTCAAAATATTACTCACCGAGAAAATACAAATAACAAACTATAATGATTAAAAGAAAGTTATTAAAAAAAAACTAAAAGAAATAAGAAATAGATGTAATATTGTATTTTTAAAATTTTATGTCCCTAACAGATATTTTTGAACCACTGTGTCTGTATAAATTATTTGTGTACCTAATTGTATTTGAATGTATTTTTTGAGGCTAAATAAAGTATTTTTTCTTTCATTTGAGTTTTTATTCAGTAGAAAAAACATCACAAACATCACACGACACGCCGAACGAAACGAACAAACCGATCACCTCATGGTAAGCAATCGATGGCCGATACCGATTCGGAGTCGCGGAGAACCTAACGGGTAACCGGGGCTCCGGCTCGACGTGCAGGAGAAGGAACGGGGTGGTTTTTAGTCAGTAAGAGTCTGACAACTCCCTCCCGCCCCACCCAGGCGGGAGCAGCCATTCGATGATTTTCCCCCCTTAAAAAAAAAGCAATCGATTTCGCCCTTGGACACACGCAACACCAGAGGAGTTCCAAGTGCGTTGCCAGCCTTTTGAGGTTCAGAGATTTGTGTATTGGGGAGATTGGCGGAGGGAGGAGGGCCACACTAACACAAAGCAAGCGTTATTTCACACCAGTTTTCTGAGATTAGCTTTGTTTGGTATCCCACAAAAAAAAAACATCAACAACGAGCAACAATTAGACTGTTACTAGGTTACTATGTTAGATTCTAAGATTGTTTGATAACAAAACTAGAATGTACAGTGTTTAATGGTGTTTAATAATAGTCTTTGGCTGATATCAAACAGCTCATTCTAGAAATTAAATAGAAAGAAGAAAGAAAGAAAATGCATTTATTTGGCCATTGGCACACGAAAACAAGGATCATTCAACACAAAACATTATTTATTTAATATGCTTCATGCACAAAATGTACAAATAGGTGGACTTAATGCCACAGGCATTTTCCACTGACCTCTGGGTGATGCAGAGAAGAGTAAATGGTAGGTGCAAAAGACAAGCAGTGATTTTATTTAACAATGAAAGATAAAGTAATATATTTCGGAGATATAACATACATAAATAAATATAATTGTAATATATAAATATATACATTAGGTAATAAAATAACAGATTTAAAAGATAAAAGAAATGAACAAAAATCGTTAAATCATCAAAATATATACATTAGAATAATAACCGAAATTAAAAACAAACAACAAAAAAAAATATATATATGTAAAAAACAAAGAACGAAATATAAAAACAGAAGTGATCCACTTTTTGCCAGTTTATGGGTATCATGACTTCATCGCCATAGATCTATTGCCATGCACCAAAGTTGCTATGAATTGGCATGGTTATGCATTAGGATGTGATTATTTACCTTTTGAACTACGGGACAAATCAATTGTGGCAGTGGGACCCATCCTATTCAACAGCTAACAGGGGTCGTGTCGTAGGTGTACCATTGTCCTACCTCGGAAGAATGTATTGTTAATTCTGATTGGTTACCAGGCTAATCAAAATATTATGTTTAATGGACTATTCTGAAAGTTTTTTTATATTTAATAGGCCGACGTTTGACCATTACATCGCCTGGTGATAAGCGATGATGCGGTCTACGATGTGTCGTAGACCGTTGTCCCGTAAGCAACCTATTCACTCGGGCTTTAAAGACACCCTTCGGGAAATAAAGACTCTGGCAAAAGAATTCCACTCCTTAGAAGTACGCACAAGGGAGCAATAAACCAATAAATAAAAATGGCCAAAGACGTTGAACTGAAGGCAGCCACAGTCCCTTGAAACAACGACTGTGGTACCTGCAGCTGTAGCCAAATACCATTTAGCACTTGTCTACACAGAGAGTAGCCACGTACCACCTTATCGATATCTTTGGGTAGAAAGGTCGTTTACCAAAACCAGTTACTATTTTTTTTAAAAAGGGGGGTAATCATCGAATGGCTGCTCCAGCCTGGGTGAGGCGGGAGTGAGTGTCAGACTCTTATTGACTAAAAACCACCCCGTTCCTTCTCCTGCACGTCGAGCCGGAGCCCCGGTTACCCGTTAGGTTCTCTGCGACACACCAGTTACTATAGAGCTACACGCAGAACATGAACACATTGACACGAAGGACGTCTGTCATTTTCTTAAGTCTGGTAACGTGGTAAATTATACATCTATGCGTGGTAACCATTACACACGTACACATGACCACTGACATTTTAGTACTTCAATCATATCTAAGTGGCATTATGTCCGCCATTTTTTCAACGTCCTTGCTCGCGCAAAGACCTTTGACACCTACTTGTCCTAGAGTACTAGATGTCAAATGTAAACCAGTTTTGCCAAGGAACGTGAGTCCCAAGTGAAGGGAGTATTTATTTATTACTAGCTTTTACCCGCGGCTTCGCTCGCGTCACAAAAGGATAAAAAGTAGCCTATGTGACATATACCAATACACACAGCGCCATCTGTACCTATACTTTTGTTTTCCCTCGGGAATATCAATTTTTCCGGGATAAAAAGTACCCTATTATTTAATCCAGACTTCTAACTTTATGTCTGCAAAAATTCAAAGCAATCGGTTTAGTAGTTACGGCGTGAAAGCGGAACAAACAAACAAACTCACGTTCCAATTTATAATAATAGTAAGGATCCTCCGTACCGGTATAACAGAAAAACTAAAAAGCTTCTTCTAATGTACACGAGGCCTGTAATCCAACAGTGAACCACCTAAGTGTGGGTGAGCCATGCTTCGGCACGAATGGGCCGTCTCGACGGGATGATACCACGGCCTCACAGAAAACCGACGTGAAACAACGCTAGCGTTGTATTTAGTCATGTGAGTGAGGTTACCGGAAGCCGAATTACCCATCCTCCCCTTCCCCAATCCCTGAATTCGCAACAATCCTCAAATTCCTCATCCCAATGCCGGTAACGCACTTGTAACGCCTCTGGTGTTCCAGGTGTCTATGGGAGACGCCGATCTTACCATCAGGGGATCCGTCTGCTTGTTTACCAGTTTATCCTATAAAAATTAACCTTTAATCAGAATTAATTGCAGAATAGCCCACTGCATAACAAAAGTGCTTGTATTATGATGACACTCGCGTAGTACGGTGTGAACCTCTGAACAATGAACATCCGCGCGATTGTACTCTGGTAATATTTAAATCATATTTATCTAGTCTGTTCTTCATATTTCCTACTAAATACTATCAAACTTTTCTAAGGTCTTTAAAATAGGAAAATCGTTTTCATATGGAACTAGCTGTACCCGGAACTTCGTGTGTAATTTTTTCTAAAATAAAAGTAGCCTCTATTAGTTCTTAGTACATCAGCTACCTGCCAATAAAATTCCCGTCAAAATCAGTCCAGTCATTTCAGAGATTAGCCAGTACAAATAGACAGACAGCCAAAAATTGTAAAAAGTGTTATTTTGGTATATGTATCGTGTGTATATTTATGTGCATGTAGTAAAAAGCGGTTATTTCGATATTACAAATAGACACTCCTATTTTATTCCGCAATTCCAGACGAGTTCGAAAACAAGTGTTTTCTCCTACTTTTGGGATTTGGCTTAGCCCTCTTAATTTTAATATGTAGGTATTTTTTAACTTTCACAGCGTATTCACTATAATAAGTGACAAAGTATCTTGCAAAAGTAAATCACGTCCTTTTCCTCCGGAGTTCATGTTTGGGGCGGCGACTTCTGCCTACCAAGTCGAAGGAGGGTGGCATGAAGACGGTAAGGTTCCTTAAAGTAGTATTTTCAGAAACATTTCATAATCCAATTTGTCTAGAATTAACCTAGTTGTTCAGATAATATTCTAAGCTGGCGTTAAGAATTCTTTCATCGAAAAACTCGAATTAGGGTCAAGCTAGTTGTTCAGATACATAAAATTCTAAGTTGACGATAAGAATCCCTCAATCGAAAAACTCGAACATATTGTTTATTAAACAATTCAATCGTTTCATATGTCTACCATGTTACCGAGTCATAACAAAGGAAATAATTGTAGGTACCTACTCTTAAAACGCCATATTTCTACTAGAAGCACGATTTCATTGGCTCTCACGCAAATTTAACCCTTCACAGGTAAAAGTCCATCTATCTGGGATGTAGCCTGCCACTCAGATCCTACCCTAATCAAAGACGAGACCACAGCAGACGTAGCAGCAGATTCCTACCACAGATTCCATCAAGATGTCACTGTAGCCTCAGACCTAGGCTTGGACTTCTACAGATTCTCCATCTCATGGCCCAGGGTCCTGCCCAACGGATTCTCTGACAAAATAAACCACCTTGGCATGGACTACTACAATGAACTTATAGATAAACTTTTGGCCAGAAATATTATTCCGATGGTAACGATATACCATTGGGATCTCCCTGATAATCTGCAAAAAATCGGAGGCTGGGCCAATCCTGCGATAGTTGACATTTTCGTTGATTATGCGAAGTTCCTGTTTATAGGATTTGGAGAGAAAGTCAAGTATTGGATTACTTTTGATGACCCTAGAGAAATATGTGTTAGTGGATATGGATCTGCACAAAAGGCTCCGTTCGTAAATATTTCTGGTGTAGCTGAGTACATGTGCACTCGTAACGTATTATTGGCTCATGCTAAAGCTTATCATTATTATGATGAAGAATTGAGGAAAACACAAAACGGAAGTATTGGGATTTCTCTTGGATTCGCATGGTATGAACCCACGTCTGATACGACTGAGGATCATCAGGCTGCAGAAGATGCCAGGCAGTTTGAGGTTAGTGAAATAACTGGACGATGTAATGACTTTCCTAAACAAGTATTTTATATTATTGTATTCATTATACAAAATTACACTCTATGAGGATGACCATATTTTTTCCCAACTGTTACTTAAATAGCTATTGTTTGTACTTTCAGTGGGGCCTATACGCACATCCAATATTTTCAAAAGCTGGTGACTATCCACAGGAAGTGAAGAAAAGTGTAGCATACAAGAGTGCAGAACAGAGTTTCCCTAGATCTCGCTTAATAGAACTTTCTCCTGGAGAGGTGGCTCTGATTAGAGGATCAGCAGACTTTCTAGGAGTTAATGCGTTTACTTCGAAGCTAGCGTACAGGGACGCGTCTTTAGAGGGCATGTACCCTGTGCCCTCCTTCAAGGATGATATGGGAGCTGTGTTGGTCAAGGATCCCTCATGGACGCAGTCAGAAAGCAGCTGGTTACAGGTAAAAATTTGTACAAAGTACACCAATACCACATTCATAATATCAACATTTTTGTAAACAATACACCCCAGTATTGTATTGTATTGTATTGTGTACTATCTACTGTCTATTGTGATCTCATTTTGTTTGTTATATTCTTATTTCCGTTAGAATCTGAATAGAGACCAAAGAAAGTCATAAAGAAATAAATTCCCGTCTCATGTAAGCCAGGGTCAATCAAAATAGCACTAAAACACTGAAGCCTGGGTACTGATGTGTCTCAGGGAAGATCAGAAGAATCAGAAGATATCATGATTGGATGGAAGAGTAGAAAAAGAACAGAGGTTCCGGTTATTTTCCGTTTTTTTACCAGATCGGTCTTCATAATTATTGTAACAGACCAATGCTACATCTTTCGAAAGATATGCGTGTCCACTCTACCAAGTACTTTGGGGAAACAAATTTATATATATATTATCACGCCTTTTATCCCCGAAGGGATAGGCAGAGGTACACCTCTGTAATGTACACACTACGGCACTTAATGTAGTTATTGGCACTATTATAATGTAACACCCACTGTTCACTGTTTAGGTTATGAGTCCCATGTTATAGTGGGTGAGCGTATTGCCATATACCGGGCACAATTCAAGACTCATTGCTACTACTGAGTATTTAAAAACCCAGTAATACTTTGCCTGATCCAGGAACCCGAGACCCCTAGTCCGACATTCGCACTTGCGACTTGCAGACAAATAAATTCATTGACAATAATATTTTGATCATATACATTTCAGGAAGTGCCATGGGGATTTTTCAAGCTTCTAAATGAAATTAAATCTTTGTATGACAATCCACCAGTGTTTATAACTGCTAACGGCTGGTCTACAGCGGGAGGTCTGCTTGATGAAGACAGGATCAACTATTTGAGGACCTATCTCAATGCTTTACTGGACGCTATTTACGAAGGTTGTGACATCAAGGGCTACAGTGTTTGGTCTCTTATAGACACTTTTGAATGGCGAAGTGGGTATTTGTAAGTATCTTGAATTTGATAGTAAAATATTTTGACGGTAAAAGGGTAAATAAATACTTAAGCCGTGTGCTGATTGCAAAGTAAAATATATTTGCCACCAATCTTTCAATTTGTAGGCTTTCACCACCTCTTTCTGTAAATGTGTAGTGTAAGGGCATCTGCCCTTCTCCCTAGATTAGAAGATTATGGCCAATGTTCAAAAATTTACCTTGCTTAAGCCTTTAACTGCCGACAAAAACTGTTAAAGGCTAATCCTCCGCCAGCGTCGGACAACATTGTCCGACACGGCAGCCATTGCGTTAATAGATGGGTTTCTCTTTTTTTTAAAAAAGCAACGTTGTCTCAGGCTCCGATTTTCTCCTGTGTCGTGGGTGTGTTTACAAACATACAAGTTCATATACACATTACACCCAGACCCCGAACAACAAATTGTGGATCACACAAAGAGTTGCTCCGTGTGGGAATCGAACTCGCGAGACGTTGAACGGCAACCGGTTGCCCAGCCACCGCGCCAACCGTGCCGTCAAGTATTATCTTCTGAGCGGTTTGTTCACAAACCTAATTTCAAAGATTTGCAGTTTAATATTACCATGAATGAACTACTAACTAATAAGTAATATTTTTTTCAGAGAAAAGTTCGGCCTTTACGAAGTGGACTTCTCAAGTCAACAGAAGACGCGGACTCCGAGAAAATCTGCGTTCATTTATAGGGAAATGATCAGGTCCAAAAAATTGAATCCGGACTTCGAACCGGAAAAATTCATTGTTGAAGTTTCCAAAGACGTACCTGAAAAATCTAATGTTGATAATGATGTTTTGTGATTTACTTAATAACTTCTAGTTTAAGTAGTCATGACTAGCCACTGCCTGCAACTTGATCCGCGTAGAATAGTGCCTTAATGCAGATTTTTTTATCTTAAAAAGTTAAATTGAAATCCGTCCATTCGTTCCGAACAGGAACGTGTGTCAGCAGATAAAGTAATTAGACAAACGGACAAATAGGATTTATGTTTCTCGTTTTTTTCTATTAAGTACTATTTTCTTATCGCCCTATTTTTGTTTTATTGAAAAACATAAAATAGATACTCTTTTTATTGTTTTAAATTATTACCTTATGGTAATTCCTTCTATATGTGTAATTTTAGACCCAAAATGGCATTTTATTTTAATAACAGAAGTTTTGCGATATTTACATTAAATAAATAGTTACCAAATTTTTGTATAATTTATGCTTGTAACAAATAAGTTTTAGTCATATAATTTATGTATATAAAAAATTTTGTAAACTAATGTAACTGTTTTGTACCTTTCTATTTAAATAAATAAGTAATAAGTGATTCAATAAACGTTTTTCTCGTGCATTGTCATTTTTTTTATTTCAAATCGTAAGATCTAAAATTATATTATGTATAGGGGAACTTATGATAAACAAGTAAAGCCCTTTTTATGACGGGAGAATCCTTCAAAAGGCATCTAGCCTTTTGGGAAGAAAGACTAGTTAATGTGGGATTTTTACCTCATTAAAACCACCCTGGTGGCCACCCTCAACATAACACCTATCTATAGGGGTATACACCAGGTCCTCTCAGTCTTACAGACCCGTCCCAGAAAAATAATTATAGTCCTAGTACTTAAAAAAATTTACATAGGTAGGTACTGTAATATTACCTACTGGGTACATGTGTCATGCTCCTCTATAAGTTTCTACTATCTTAGAGATAAAATGTACCGAGTGCTACCTATTACTTATGCTTTGCTTTTATTTGTAGGTACAATATGTATATACTTTATCAGAATGTAAATAAGATTTCTGCTTAATAGGGCACTTATTTCAGTACCTACCCATTGATAGTGTCGCGGAGAACCTAACGGGTAACCGGGGCTCCGGCTTGACGTGCAGGAGAAGAAACGGGGTGGTTTTTAGTCAGTAAGAGTCTGACACTCCCTCCCGCCTCACCCAGGCGGTAGCAGTCATTCGATGATTTTCCCCTTAAAAAAACCCTTGATATTGTTGCCACCAATATCTCTTTTTCCAAAAATCTTTCAACATGATTTTTGGACATAATATTTTTCTCTCTACTATAATTTAATTATAAGAATTTTAATAGTAGTCAAGGACGTTGTTAATAGTATTAAGTGCTGTATGATAGTATACTGTTCATCTGACCTTACATTTTCTTTGAAATGAAAGATACATTAAAAATAACATAAAATAAACATTTTTTTTTAAACATATAAGTCGATTTTTAATGCAAATCGATTATCGATAATAGATTAATTTCAAAAACCGGTTTTGCCGCATCACTAATTTAGTCACTTTTTTTAGTAATGGCGGTCACCACTAGTCTCCAATGAGTGAGTGCCGTCGTTCGTGCCGTGTCAAATTTGTTTTGTTTATATGTCACGTCAGTAGAAGTTTCACTAAATATTAGTTAAAAATGTGCGATATTAACGATAATCCTATAAAACTAAGTGTTAAGTGGAATGGCAAGGAGTACGAAATACCAGAATTTTCACCATCAGATTCCGTCGCGATGTTGAAAGTTGCGATCGAAAATGCCACGGGCGTCCGGCCCGAGAGACAAAAACTCCTAAATGTTAAATTTCAGGGTAATTATGATATTATTCTCATTACAATTAAGACTTTAGGGCCTTCCGATGACCTTTCGAATTAATCATTACTAAGATTATCTACAAGATTGATAGTGAAACTTGCAAAAACCTCATTGTGAGTGATCTGTTCTTTATGTAATATCCTACCGGTCGAGACTTGTTTTACATTAAGCTTCTAAGAAACGCACACAATGCCCTACATTTTGCTGACTATTTATAACATAGAACATGATAACATACAGATATGTAGATTGTATATTTTTATAAAGATTTACATTTCATTAATTGTAACATGATGACTTAAACTTGAATATTATCATGTTTCTATGTGTTATATTTTTACTACATTACAACAGTGATCTTAGGACGTATTTATGTAATGAATTTTGCTAAACTATACTTAAATTACCAGAAAATATAAACCATTTAGCAAAGTACAATACCATGTTATTTTTGTAAAACATTGTACAATAAGACACAATATTCTTCAATACTCATATGTTGCTATAGTTGAAGTGTAGAATTTGGTTAATCCTTACAAATAGAGCATCATTAACTTGTAAGTGTGTTGTGGTGGCCCAGAGTTTTTAGATGCCTACTTATCAAGCATGAGGATGAGGGTTCGAAACCTACCAACAGCAAATACCAATGTGAATTTTTCTGAGTTACATGTACTTTCTAAGATTATTTAGACACCACTGACAAATTATGAAGGAAAACATTGTGAGAAAAACAACACATATAAATTCTAATTATAAGTTTGGAATCGCCTACCCGCATTGAGCAAATGTAATGATTAACCCGTTGAAATCCATCCCCTAAATTTGGTCATACAAAAGCAGTCTCTAAACATTAGAAATAAAGTCTATAATGTAATGTTATATTAGTGGAAAGCGGTCACCGGTGACCGCTTGGGGATTTATGGGTTAACCCGTTGAAATCCATCCCCTAAATTTGGTCATACAAAAGTAGTCTCTAAACATTACAAATAAGGTCTATAATATAATGTAATATTAGTGGAAAGCGGTCACCGGTGACCGCTTGGTGATTTATGGGTTAATGGTCTAACCTTCTCCATGTGAGAAGACGCATTGCTCAGCAGTGGGCATTTATAGGCTGTTGATGAATGAACTAGTAAGTAACTATAACCTGTCTCCATACCATCTGGGCAGTGCCTAGTAGTTGGTAGTAAGAATAACTAGAACAGTTTTTTGCTGTGGTCCTTTAAAAAATCAACAATAATGCAATCGGCGAGATTGGTCTTACCATTCCTAAGTTTGGTCCTCACAAATACATTTTGCAACTCATTTTCATTTATTATCCAAACAAAATTCTTCATAGGGAATCAGATGAAAGAAACAACAGTTTTACAGTTAGTCAAGCTCCTAGATAACAGAATAGACTATATGAAATTACTGATGATGATACCCATGCTAAGTAACTATTAAAAAAAAGTGAAAGTAGATATCAAGCAAATTCTAGCTGTTACCTGGCAACAGTAATAAGATAACATAGATATATTATGAGAAATAATAGCTTGAAAAAAGAAAATTAAAATTATTGGACTTGATTAAAGCATGTTAAAGATTTTCATAACATCTCATCACATAATCTACACAACATCATATAGCTTTTGTTGAACACAATCCATGTAGTACAACATTGCTATACCAGCGGTTCCTAAAGTTATCTGAACTACGACATATTTAAATCTAGTTACCAAAGTCAGCACCCACTTTTAAGAAATTAAACTGTAAATGAAAAGTACAGTACAAAACGGTTGGTTGGTGTGTCATTCGACAGATAAAGCCCACTAAAAATTCGTCACCCATAGTTCGGGAAACCCTGCTATGGATAGTGTATATAACTATAGTATGGGTATATCATCAAGCGAGATAGTGATCAAATGAAGTCCAATCAAAAATAAAAATAATAGTATATAATTATGCGCTTCGTTTTAAAATAGAAATAAAAACAACTTTGAATTGTTTGAGGAAAGTGCACATAATAATAATTATTTTATGGTGGCCCGGAGGTTTAAAACGCCTGCTTCACATACATGAGAGTGTAGGTTCCAAACCTACCAATGGCAAGTACCAAAGTAATTTTTTTCGAGTTACATGTACTTTCTAAGATTATTTAGACACCACTGACAAAAGGTGAAGGAAAAGATCATCAGAAAAGAGTTTATCGTCATTTAGAAATTGATGCCCTTTTCTGTGTGAGAACAAGTGTTTGGTCAACAGTGGCTACTTATAGACTCTGTGCATAACATAACATAGCCTTTGATAATGGCGTGTTACATTGTACAGTATAATGTGAGATACCAAATTACGGCACTAAATCCCACTGTACAATGTAACATCCACTTTTCACTATTTATGTTATGAGTCCCATGTGATAGGGGGTGAGCCTATTGCCATATATGTGTCCATTACCCAGGCCAGATGTTGTTGAAAATTGTCATTTGAATCTTATAGATAATTAGTTTTGTGGCTTCTGTAATGTTACGCACATTTTTAAATTTATTGTGCTTATAGTTTTAGTTTTCTAATTATTTCACAAAAACATTTCCTGCTGGGGTAACGTTACCCCATCCGGAAATTTTGTTTAATACGATTAAAGTCATTAGGAAGTGAATGACTGTGATAACCCGGCCAAGTTTAACCAATGAAAGAATAAATACAAAATTGGACAACATTTACTTCGTCTAGACAACTAATTTTATAGCCGGTAATTATTAAAATATTCCCATTAGAAAGAAAAAGGTCTGGCTGGGGTAACGTTACCCTAGCAGGAAATGTTTTTTGTGAAATAATTAAAAAACTAACGGCAGCAAATTTAAAAATGTGCGCAACAATTACAGAAGCCCCAAAACTAATTATCTATAAGATTCAAATGACCATTTTCGCCAACATGTGGCCTGGGTAACGCACACGCCATATACCGGGCACATCCAGGATCGGTGCTCATTGAGTTTCTTAAAAAAAAACCAGTAAGTAATAGGTACTTTGCCGGGAATTGAACCCGAGACCACTTGCGACCACTCGGCCAACGAGGCAGGCGCTGTGTGCATATAAAAACATGATGAAACACTCATCACCCTAATCATAAGAACACTAGAAGCGAGATTTCTGGTGCAAGTGCGTTACCGGACTAGACCGGACATATTTAAATGAATATCGCATAATTATAATGGCTTCGCATCAAGCTTCCTTGTGCGACGTCGGCCCATCAGAAATATATAAAAAAGAATAAGTTGTATGTATAACAAGAAACGATAAATTTTATGAAGTCTTCATTTGCAATTGTACTTCAATTCCACATAGATAATGTGTCATCCCATCAATCAACATCCCTGATGATTAATCGAGGAATAGACCCTTCTGAAGGGAATGCTTTGATTCACCTACCTATAATGGTATTTTCTTTTCTTGTTTTCATACGAAACTATCTCTCATAAAATTCATGCAATATTTTTCAGGCAAAGTAGCAACGGACAACTGCACATTATCAGACCTGCAGTTGAAGCCAAACCTGAAGATCATGATGATGGGGTCCCTGGAAGAAGCCATAGCCGGGGCGCAGACCAGGCCGGATGTTGGAGACGAGGTGGTGAATGACTTGGATGTCGAGGAGGAGGAGGTGGATGTAGAGAACCAGGAGGTAGGTGGAGATTGGATTTTGTGATTCAGTTTTTTGAGTGATTTTTTTTAGATGGTGTGTCATGTTCACATTACGTCATCAGCCTATAAGTGCTCAATACTGAGCAAATGCCTCTTCCTTCACGGTAAAGATATGAGCATTAATCACCATGCTTGCTCAAGCGGATTATCGATTTCAAACTTATCTCGTTGGCCGGGCGGTCACAAGTGCGATTGCTGGGCAAGGGGAGACCCCTTGTTTTGGGTTCGATTCTCGGATCGGGTAAAGTATTATTGGGTTTTTAAAAAAAATCTCAGAATCTGTAAATATGCCCAGTATGTGTATGTGGCAATAGGCTCGCCCCCGAAAAGTGGGTGTTACATTAAGTGCTGTAATGTGCACATCTGCCTACCCCTTCGGAGATAAAAGATGTGATGTTATGTTTGTTAATTAGACCTTATAAATCCAGGTTTCCTCACCATGTTTTCCGTTACCGTAAATAATCTTGAAAGTACAAATAGTTCAGTCGGAATAATCACATTGATACTTGGCAGGTTTCAAACACCCGGGTCACTACGACGATGATAATAAAGAGTATTAATACTATAAAAACATTCGCTTTCCAGGTGTATTTATCGAAAATAAACAAGCGAGTGCGGGATTATAAGATAAATGTGCTGAATGAACCGCGGGAGGGGAAGAAATTACTAGTTCTCGATATAGACTACACGCTGTTTGATCATCGCTCTGTCGCTGAAACAGGTTGGTATAATTATCTAATTCTATCATCGCACCATACATTGGAGCTAGATTTGTTTCGTACTGTTGGGTTTCAGAAGAATTTCCTCTCACGGCCCCTCTGATTATGGAATGAACTCCCTGCCGAGGTTTTCCCAATACCCAATAGGTTTTGTAAGGGTCAACAAGGCGCATGTAATGCCCAAAGTGTTGCAAGGGTTCATAAGCTACGGTAACCGCTTGCCATCGGGTGGGTTATGCGCTTTTTTTGCCATTGTCGTGGTACAAAAAAAAATCACTACTATATGTTTATGGAATGAAATGAAAAACGAACAGACGGATCACCTGATGATAAGCAATCGACGCCGCCCATGGACAGTCACAACTTCAGATGAGATAGATATAAGTGCATTGCCGTGCTTTTGGAGTGGCACACATAGCCAACATAACACAACTATAACTTAATATGGAATCCGAGTTCGATTCCCTAATAAGTAATTTTAACTGTAATTTAAAAAAAGTTGTGATCATACTGCGATTTTCCTTCACTGACAAGACATTTTTCATTAGATATTATTTGTTCTTGAAGTATAATACCGATTACCGTTATATAGAATAGAATCAGGCGTTATTTTGCGATTTTTTTTGAATTGGTTTGTTGTGTGTCGTGTGTGTATTTTGTGACGTGCATAAGCGTTTATCTGCGGGCGGGAGGGCACCGCTGCTTACTGCATGCTGCAGATTCATTCCTTTAGCAAAATAAAAACTAAATATTTACCCAGTTGTTCGTGTAATACCGTTTTTTACCTTATAGATAAACAAAAATGTCTTGTCAAAACTTTGTAAATTAATTCTCCTATCTCAAATTCTAGGTTACGAGTTGATGCGTCCCTACCTCCACGAGTTCCTAACTTCGGCATATGAGGATTATGACATAGTGATCTGGTCGGCCACGGGGATGAAGTGGATCGAGGAGAAGATGAGATTGCTTGGGGTCTCTACGCACCAGGACTATAAGATCATGTTCTACTTGGATTATCTAGCTATGATCACTGTGCATACTGCTAAATATGGCACTATAGATGTGAGTAACTGTTATTTTTATGGTTGATATAAGGCAGCAAAAGATCAGTGTGCGTACACTAATGTAATATCTATCCATAAAAACCTGTAATTGGCTTTCTGATTCTATTTTGCCCCTATTTTTGTGGGAGAGCCATGCTTGGGCACGAATGGGCCGGCTCGACCGGAGTGATACAACCACCTCACAGAAAACCGACGTGAAGCAACGCTTGCGTTGTGTAATTGTATTTCATCGTGTGAGTGAGGTTACCGGAGGCCCAATTATCTCTCCCCTTCCCGAATCTCACAATCTCTGAATCCACAACGGTCTTCAAACTCCTAATCCCCAAAAGGCCGGTTACGCACTTGTAACGCCTCTGGTGTTCCGAGTGTCCATGGGCGACGCAGATTGCTTGCCATCAGGTGACCCGTCTGCTCGTTTGCCGGTTTATGCCATAAAAAAATGTAAAAAAGACTTTGGATTTGTTAATTTACTAATTTCATTTCATTCTCATTTCCAGGTAAAACCTCTAGGCGTAATATGGGGCAAATACCCCCAATATAGTTCGAAAAACACGATAATGTTCGACGATATTAGGAGAAACTTCATAATGAATCCGAAAAGCGGGCTCAAAATCCGGCCATTTAGGCAGGCGCATCTAAATAGGGACCGAGATCGAGAGCTCCTGCACCTTTCTACGTACCTTAAGGACATAGCCCAATATTGTGAAGATTTCGACCAATTAAACCATAAAAAGTGGGAGAAATACAAGCCTGACAAGAACAGGTCTCAGCAGGCTGGCAGTAAGAGGAAAGCTGAAGATAGTGCCCCGACCACACCCAAAGAATGACGGTAATTCCACCACAGGCCGACACCTCGGTCTGCGAGTCGCCTTAATCGCTTATAAGACTGCAAACCCGTTAGAACTGCTAACAGTTTTAAAAAACCTCGATTATTAAGTCAAAAAAACATTGAAAATGTTTAAAATGTAACACTTTTTAATTAAAATTAAGGCGATTTGCATTTTAGTTAGTTGCGTTGATCATTTTGTATCGTAACGGGATTTCTTTCAAACTTCCGTGTTGCTATTTAATAAAATTATGATATTATTTCTAATAGAACAAAGTTAAGTGATGTAGTTGAGAATTTAAGTGCGGTTAGTTCTTGACAATGGCGCTAATGGACTCTGAAAACATGCAGATGCAAGTTACTCTTACAAATAAATATTTGAAAGGATAAAATGGCCTAATGTAGGCCATACGTCACAAGTATGAATCATAAATAATAAAAATCAGTAATGAAGTTCTAACAAAATGTGAAGTATAGTTTCTCAAAACCGCTTATGCTTTGCTTTTTCTTTGTTTCTTTCTCTCAGACAGAATTTGATGCATTCAGCTTGTTTGAACAACACCGGTTCACTTGGTTTCCGATTCATTCTTGGCGACGCTTGGACAAGACCCATACATTTAAAGCCATACATCAAAACGATAAAATTATTTTTCCTGTGTTGTTTCCAGTTTCTTGAGATCGGTCATACTTATACTTATAATTTTTTACTTCTCCCCCAAATGACAAACTCCCTCTTCTAAGGGCTGATAATGATGTTTAATTCACAATATTATAATAACATTTTGTAGTTAGAGATGTCCGTTACCCAGGCCAGATGTTGTCGTAAATGGTCATTTGAATTTTATAGATAATTAGTTTTGCAGCTTCTGTAATTGTTGCGCTAATTTTTAAAATTGTTGCGCTTATAGTTTTTTAATAATTTTACAAAAACATTTCCTGCTGGGGTAACGTTACCCCAGCCAGACTTTTTTCTTTCTAATGGGAATATTTAAATAATTACTTGCTATAAAATTAGTTGTCTAGATGAAGTAAATTTTGTGCCTAATTTTGTATTTGTTCTTGTCATCGGTTGCGAATTTATTCGAAATTTTGCTAGGCTAACGTTTTTGGTTTTGCTATATCTTTGAAATGGTTAAGCGGATTGTTATCATATTTTGTACATGGCTTCTTAGGAATTATTTAATGGGACAAGCCCGCCACAACCTCCCAAAACCGCTGCAAACCCTGTAAGCCAGGATATACAGTAGATACAACCATGAAAAAACCGGAACACTGAAGTCCGGCGCGTCCCAGGGACATGAATAACTGTCTTGGTTCCCGCAACGAAGTGAGTCAGAAGATATTATAAGAAGAGAAGAAAAAAATAATAGTTTCCACTTCCCTCGATGAATTACTGCAGGAGATTATGAATTAAGCCTGAAGGCACAAAAAGAGACTGTACAACTGGGTGAAGCCCAGTCGCCAAACATCACGGAAATTTGACTAAAACTAAGTGGGTCCTATGTGTAAGCTGTATCAGGTATGGCAAAAGCGCCTAAACGCACGAAAATTTGTTTTAGATTCCACAAGGTCCGTATAATAAGCAACACCTGCCGAAACAATTAAATTATTTAACATAATAATACGTTCGTATTGCCAGAGATCACACTCCCAGAGTAGGTGATGGGCGGACTGTTCGTATTGCAGCTCCGCTGTCGAACATTGGCACCATGCTGAATCAACAAGTTTTAATAAAAACCACCTAAACTTGTTCAGGTTACCACGATCATTAATTTCCTAATGACTTTAATCGTATTATCTCATTAATTATCCAATATACTGAGCTGAAATTTTACTGATATACAACTGAATTATGCAACTAATAATTGACATAAGTCAATTATTGTAAGTGAACGTTGCTTAGTTCAGTGAATGTTATCATTCAATTCATATATCCAATCCAGTGGCTAAATAACACCGCGCGCATCAAGACCGTGTTCGTGAAGAACTCAATATCATCATAACTTGTTAAAAACTTACGTTTAAAGTAAGTCTTTAGAGCTCTTATTGAGAGAGCTGGTACTTATTGACGTGTTTTTCTATTTAATGAAATAACCTTTAAGCTATGTATTATTTTGGTTTTTTTATTGAAAAACAAATTTAAACTAATTCTTAAGAAGCATGTACAAAATATGATAAGAAACCGCTTAACCATTTCAAACTGCCAGCAAAACCAAAACCTTTACCCCAGCAAAACCTCGAATAACTTCGCAACCGATGAAAGAACAAATACAAAATAAGGCACAACATTTACTTCATCTAGACAAGTAGACAACTAATTTTATAGCTAGTAATTATTTAAATATTAGAAAAAGGTCTGGCTGGGGTAACGATACCCCAGCAGGAAATGTTTTTGTGAAATAATTAAAAAAACTATAAGCGCAACAAATTTAAAAATGTGCGCAATAATTACAGAAGCCGCAAAACGAATTATCTATAAGATTCAATTGACCATTTTCGACAACATCTGGCCTGGGTAACGCACACGTAAAAGAGACCAACTCACTAGTTAATTAGTCGCATGACAATCGCGACTGACAATATATGGATCACATAAAAAATTTTTTCGCGTGTAAATTAATAGCGATTTATGACTAAATTCTATGTTAATGTCCGTCTGGTAGGTTAATTTAAAACTTTAGACACGTATTTTTTCTTCTTTTACTGAATCAAATAGTGACTTTAGTAATTAAAAATATCGTGTGACGTCACAATTTATTAATCCTTTTTCAATTGAGTCATGACGCAGCGACATCCCACTCCTAAACTTTAAATACGTTTTATAGAACTATTTTTTCTTAATATGACAAAATAAAAAATACGTGTCTAATATTTTTTCATTATCTAACTGACGGACTAAATAGATTTTTAATACTTACCCTGTCATCATCCGTATTTGGGTACTTTCCTTAATCAAAAGTAATTATTTCGACTGTTCAATACAATATAATATTAAAATATAATCACACTTTCGTTAATTGATTTTATGACCAACTTAATTTTAGTACTTTTTCTGTATTCTTTTATGAAATAAATATACTGATTGACGCTAAAAAAAATGTGACGTCACAATACACAATCTCGTACAAAATTCATAGAAAGTTGTCGTTTTTGACAGTTCGAAAAAAGTATTGAATTTGATTAGTTGGCAAGTACCCATTTGTGGGCCTAACAAAGAGATTGTTTTAGAAATTAATACTGTGACAAGTTGTGCACTCTACTACATAATTGTTATCTACTCCTATTAAGAATTAAAGGCGTTATACTGTACCTATAATTCATGACAATAGCAGATTATTATAAAAATAAACTTATTGCATTTAAATAATGTGTATTTGTGTATTTTTTTTATTAGTTTTAGACGTTCTCATTGACAGTAAAAGAAAAAAATGTAGATCATAAAAACTATTCAAAAGTTCTTAATTTTCAAAATACATGTTTAAGATGTAAAAAATATATCAAAAAATGTATTGTATTGTACAAAATCTTTCGTATTTGTATGTACATAAGTGTATTTATTAACAAAAAAGAATATTAGGTTTTTATTTTAATTGTACTTTATGTTATGTAGGGTTTCAGTGTTACCAATTAAAATTTTGAACGTTTCTGAAGACAAGTCTACCCGATCCGGGAATCGGATATAGGATCTCTAACGCAGTCATATTTTCTCTTGAGATGCCAACTTACATATATGATAATAATGTTAACGTCTCATAATCTTGCAGTAAAAATATATTAATATTATTTTGTAAGTACCATACTGTCAAAATGTTCTTGAGTCATGATATTTTACGAAATAAGTCATTAATAAGTATATAAAGTCCATTTTTATTACATGTATAAGAAGTAGTTATGTATCAACGTGAGCATAACGGTTGAAACATAACTAGTGTCGAATTAGGTTATTTTATTATATTTTTTAATTTATGATATAAAATAAAAGTATTTGGACAAATAATTGTGGTTTTCTTTCATTATTAATAGCTTTGTGCAGTTTTAAGACAAATTATCGTCAGGAATCTTTCTTATCTTTTCTTTTTTTAAAAACGTTACCCCACTCTAGGATTTTCTCCTGTGTCGTGGGTGCGTTTACAAACATACAAGTTCACATACACATGACACCCAGACCCGGAACAACAATTTGTGGATCACACAAAGAGTTGCTCCACGTTGTGTGGCAGCCGGTAGCCCAGCCACCGCACTAACCGCGTTGTCTTTTAATCACTATGTACGGTGATAAATCGCATCAAATTTGTTTAGTGGTTTTGAAGTTCATAGCTAACATACCGACAGATGTGGGGAAGGACTATCATAATAGGTAATAAGTATTACTTCCACTCCTGAATGCTTCCTTTTAAGTCTTAGATACCTACCTACATGACCTCACGGCTCTCATAGGGATAGGCAGAGACTATGGAACACCAATTGCTACGATTCTTACATACCTCATTTGCTTCCTTGCAGTCATCAGTCTTTTTATCCATGCTCGTCGGTGAAATCTTAGATTTCCTTCAAAAATAATCGGTTCCTAATTTGTATTAATATAAATAGGTATATAATATTTCCTACATGTTTACATAAATAAATAGGTACCTATATATTTACTGACTGCCTCGTTGGCAGAGTGGTCGCAAGTGCGACTGCCGGGCAGGGTTCGGGTTCGATTCCCGGGTCGGGCAAAGTATTACTAGGGTTTTTTTAATAAAATTCTCAGTATTAGCATGGAGTCTGGAATTGTGCCTGGTATATAGCAATGCGCTCACGCCCTATTACATGGGACTTATAACATGAACAATGAAAAGTGGATGTTACATTGTACAGTGGCATTAATGTAGGTACACCCCTGCCTAGCCCTTCTGGGATAAAAGGAGTGATGTTAAGTTATTATAATTATTTACTTGTTATTGTTGCCATAAATATACATCTACTTGGAAGGTATAACAAATAATTGCTATTTATTTCTGATTTCAATTAATTTATAATAATATATCTCACCATTATCCTTCCTGTACGACTTTATTTTAGACAATAAATATGTAAACCACAACCAGAATATAAAAAGCCCCGCCATTTAGCGGATTTTTAAGGAACTATTGTCCGTATACGAAATTGTTAAACGTTGTCAATAAATGCGACTACAGCGCCGTCTTTACAGGTCATTCTTTTCTGGTCATATTATTTAGCATCCTATGTTTAAAATAGAATAATTATATGTGGTTCTGTCTAACAGGAAAGAATATGTTTTTCCTAGAATAGAGTAATTCAAATAATGTTTAAGTAGCAGTACACTAGTAACTAGAACTAGATAGGATATTCAAGTCTTCATTTTAGAGGATCTACTTACCTACCTTACCTTGACAATTTAGAGGTCGAAAAATCTAATAGGTACATAGTTAATACCTACTTTCTGAGACCTCTTTCTCGGCAGTCGGACTTGCAACCGCTCGACTAACGCTCTGCTTATCCCACGTTGGTTAAGGCTTGAAGTTATTATTTAATAATAGGTACGAAGTTAGTTTCGCCTTGAAAAATCTTCTGCGCATCGTTATCTTCTTGCGTAGGTAAGAAGAACTAACAATATAACAAATCCAACAAGAGTTACATAAGTAAAATCGCTTTAGCTTAGCAACACATTTAACAATTTATTTTTTTACTTACCTAATAGATAGATCATAGTAATGTTAGTGTTCTTGCATTACAACAGATTCAGCAACCGATAAATTAAATAGTTAAGTACCTACCTAAATTACATTTCCTTGACCTTTCACAGACGCTCGTCAATTGTTTAAGACTTAAGTA